CAAGTTCAAAGCCAGCCTTAGCAATTTAGCAAGGCTCTAAGAAACTCAATGAGACCCTGTCTCTAAATAAAATACAAAAAAGGGCTGGGGATGTGGCTCAGTGGTTAAGTGTCCCTGAGTTAAATCCCCTGAACCTCCCCCACCCCCCAAAATTGTCTTTTTCTTCTCATAAAAAAAATCTTTCTCAATCAAGCATGGTAATCCTAGCAACTGGGAGGGTCTGAGGCAGAAAGATCACAAGTTCAAGTTCAAGGYCAGCCTTGGCAACTTCATGAAGCCCTATTTCACTATTCAGAAAAAAAAAAAAGGACTGGGGATGTATCTCAGTGGTAAAGTACCCCTGGGTTCACACCCCAGTAACACCCCATCTCACACTCCCTCCATATATACATACATACACATAATCTTTCGGTTGTCAGGCACAGTGATGCATACCTGTAATCCTAATTTCTCAGGAGGCTAATAGAATAGGATCATAAGTTTGAGGCTACTGGGTAACTTAATGAGATTTAAGGGGTTGAGGATGTAGCTCAGTAGTAAGAATGCTTGCTTAACATTCAATCCCCAATATCTCAAAAAGAGAACAAAATAATCTCTGTCTTTAATTCAGAAATTTTGCTTTATACCTAAATTTGCCACAGAACAGATACTTGAAGAGCATTCTAACTTGTCTAGTCATAGCCTCTATGGGTATTTAATATAGTTATCACTTAATAATWTATCACATATTAATACTTTAATTACCTACCTCTTGCTGTGGAACCCAGGTACTTTTAAAGGATTCAGCTTAAGTTTTGGATTAACTTCTGAAACTGCCATTTGGCCAGTGACTCYGTCTGGAATTCAGAAGATATAATTAGGAATCAACTCACATATTATATATATTCTATTGCAACTTTCCTAGCTCAAGGCCTGGCATTTGAAAAATCTAGAGCTTTAAGGAATGGTACTAGAGTTATGTGCAAAGTTGAGGGGATGTGGAAGGGTCCCTTTGATGTCACTAGATTTCTAAGCAAAACTTCTTGCCATTGCTTCCCCTTTCAAATACTATCATTCTGATGCTGTGTAAAAATAAATGCTGGGCTGGGGTTGTGGCTTAGTGGTAGAGTGCTTGCCTAGCATGTTTGAGGCACTGGGTTCGACTCTCGGCACCACATTAAAAAAAAAAAACATAAATAAAATAAAGATATTGTGTCCACTACAACCAAAAATATTTTTAAAAAAATGTTACCAGGTGCAGTGGTGAACATCTGTAATCCAACTGACTCAGGAGGCTGAGGCAGAAGGATTGCATGCTCAAGGCTAACTCAGCAAGTTAGTGAGGCCCTAAGCAACTCAGTGAGACCTGTCATAAAATAAAAAATAAACAAAAAATGGTCTGGGGATGTCTTTCAGTGGTAAAAGCCCTCTGGGTTCGATTCCCAGTTCCAAACAAACAAACRTTAAGAGAAATAAACCAGCTACATAAAGACAAATACTGTTATGTTCTTAATTATATGTGGAATCTAACATAGTTATATGAAAGCAGAGAGTATAATGCTGGGAGAAGGGGGCTATGAGATATTGGTCAAGAGGTACAAAGTTTCTTACACAAAATGAGTACTGATGCTGTAACATGGTGACTATAGGTAATAACACTGTACTGTATACTTGAAATTTGCTAAGAGGGCTGGGGATGTGGCTCAAGCGGTAGCCCGCTTGCCTGGCATGCGTGCGGCCCGGGTTCGATCCTCAGCACCACATACCAACAGGGATGTTGTGTCCGCCGAGAACTAAAAGATAAATAATAAAAATTCTCTCTCTCTCTCTCTCTCTCTCTCTCTCTCCTCTCTCACTCTCTCTTAAAAAAAAAAGAAATTTGCTAAGAAAGTACATCCTAAATGTTCTTACTCTTCTGCCAACAGTAACGTAAGGCATTGGATATATTAATGCTGGATGGTAAAACTATTTCACAATGTGGATATATATCTATATCTCTATCTATCTATCTATCTATCTATCTATCTATATATCTATCTCAAACCATCAAGTTGTACATAGTAAATAATAAAAATGGGGTCACACTGATGCAGATAAAGTATCTTAGAACTATGTGGAAGAAGTTATTTAAAGACAAAATTTATTTATGCAACAAAAACATTTCATGCATAATTGACAAAGAATAAAATATTTACACCATTTCTAAAATATTTGCCTACTTATTTCTGTTTTTAGATATCTGTCTGGTAGTAAGTAGATTTTCCCAGGGTTTTTTACTGGAACACATATCWCTGCCCTGTCGGTTCTTTTGAACTCACTGGTCTTTCTTAAAAGTAGGAGCAGGTAAGGAATACAGTGCTGTTTGCTACCTTAGATCCTCTTGTATGGCCTCTTCACTGCTATGGCCTCCCTAGTCCTCCCTTTCCATTTCTGCATAATTTGAGACACAGGGCCTGTGGTCCAGGAGCTAGGGGTAGGGCTTTTCCCTTTATTATTTTTATTGCTCCAATAGAGTGTATCAAGTGGTTCATTGACAAGTAAACTGGGTTCCTAACTTAGGAATAACAAACAATAATACTAATTTTAAACTATGAAAAGGTTTCTGAATGTTGGGTTAGAATTGATTTTTCCCAGGTCTTCACCTCAGAACCTGGAAAGCAGTTGTTTCTACACCACTCAATTACATATGTTCAGAATCTAGGAACCTACCACAGAGCTGGAACGCTGGAGATGCTCAACAATTTAGGCACTTGAAAGGTGCTGTGAAATCATCCTCATGGCTCAAAATAATCATTACTTAAAAAAAGAATCTTCAATCTCTTATAGAGATAATAGCTGTTTTTTTAAAAAAGGACTCAGCCTAGAATCATAAAAATCCTGATATCTACTACTTTTAAGCTGGGCTACTAACTACTTTGGGACTTCAATCAGATGAAGAATCCAATAAAGGGTTTGTTCCATCATACAACTGTGACCTCATTCARTGCTCAGTCTCAGGCCCAGGGGGAGAATGAGCCACCAATTTCTTTCAGTGTTAGAGTGTTAACAGAGAGTTAGTGTTTTCAGTGTGGTTCATTCARCACACCCTTGGGGTGTGTGACAGTGTGAGCTACAGAATCAGAACATTTTGACATTGTTGAGATTTCAGGGAAGGGGAAGTTTTTT